TGCTTTGGAACAGAGGTTAAAAAATAAACCCAGTGCACAAGAGGAAGCTGATGGAAGTAATAAAAACAAGATAACCTGTCACATTACAGAGGCATAATAAATAAGTATCCCCCATGTGAACCTCCTCATGAATGACTTGTTTCCTTTTTTCCCCACTTTCCTGTTTTTCTGATGCCATGGATTAACCCAGCACTGCAGCACAAATCAGCACCAAAAGCACCAGGCAAGTGCTCAATTTTAATGTTTTCCCCATCCGCTTGCTGAGCTACAGCACACAAACAGGTATGTTTATTCATCTTTCTAGTCCCAGACCCTCACTTTAGATTAAATCCTTTTTTCATTTCTCTTCCCCAGTGAGGTAGGGAGCACAAAACACTCAGCACACTCTGTCTTTATTCCTTACCGGCTGATTTGTCTACCTGCCTCTCCTAACAGGCTCTTCTCATTCCCTAGAACACTTTAATTCCTCTTCTCTACAGATGCTGCAATTTGGAATTGTTTGGGGTTTTTTGAGCACAGAAGTGTGTTCAGTATTACCAGAGAATACAGGAATTCTAGTACCTCTTTACTGAAATAACCTCTTCCAAAATGCTCCTTTGCATATTTCATGCATAAGAATGGTGGCTTATGGCAGCCTTAGGATCAGAAAACCCAAATAATTAGATGATCTCATTAATTCTTTAGGCTTTAAGCAACAGAAATGGGGAAAATGTGGAACTATTAAAGGGTAAGTCTAACAAGAGTAAAACTCAAACTAGTTTGCAGCTAGCTAATAGAACCAAAATGCACCAAAGATGTGCTAAGAGTGAATCTTCAAAGTTCACAACAATATATATATATAAAAAAGAGAAATATTCAAAATCCTAGGAACTGTTAATATTCACAAAAAGACCCATTTATAGGCTCTACCAACTATTGGTGTGTCTCCTATAAATGACTGTGTAAACAACCATTCTGTTTCCACTGTAATTCTCTGCCTTTTTGCTGGATTCCCAACACACATTTTAATGGCGCTTACTGCCAAGGAGCATCCTCTCACTGCCATGACTTCAAGGTCCTCAGTAACTGCTTCTCTGTTGTGAAATCTGATGTGAAGGACAAACACTACCAGCCCACAGCATAAAAAGTTCTAATAAATTGCTTAATTAATGTGTTCAATACAAATGACAAATTATGTTACATCCTTTACTTCCATGTCTTTAATTATCCTGCCTTTCAAAACATTTTAAGAAGTCTTACATCACACAATCAGTCTTAAAAGCCAAAGTTTTATGGCTGTGGGCTGATTTCTTAATTTTATTTCCTTCTTTTACACATTTCAGCTCATGCAGCTTTTTGCCTAGATTTAAGACATAAGATGTATGTAAATCTATTCCTAAACACAGAACACAAGGTAAATATGAAGTGCTATGTGGAGGAGAAAAACAACTCTGATTTAATCTATAAAAAAATGGCCTCTGAGTAATGTTAATGTTCAGGATAAAATAATCAAATCCTAAAAGAATCCAATGAAAATATTTACCCAGTGACAAGCAAGTGTCAGAAAGGAAAAGACTGGACAAAATGCAGGCAAAAAAGCATTAGTGATGTTCTGGTAAGCTTCAGGGAAGGGACAAAGATTCAGGAAAATACAATTTGGTAACATCTTTCTTTCCTTTATGTTCTATATAATGTATATTAAGTGTGAACTAAATAAACAGGTGTGGCAAATGAAGTTTTCATAACTTTTAAAAAGGAATAATAAATTTGGGGTCAAATTTACTGTCATATATCTGGCACATCTGATGAGCCCAGAAGCACATGGTACCTAAGAAAAATTCTTTTTAACATCCTTGTATGACAGACTCATTAACCTCATAGATTGCTGGACTGGGGAGGGAAACAGGTAAAAGCATATGTGTACATGAGAGGGACTTTATTAGTCCATTTAAAGGATGGATCCTCCATCTGACATGCAAGTTCACACTTTAACATTTTCACCATGTACTCCCACTTTGCCTGCACTGAATTTAGGCAGCTCTGGCATGGATTTCCAGTACAATTTTAGGTCACACACTGTCAGAGAACAAAAATTCACCACAGAAAATGTACAGCTGCTTCAAGAGACACAATGAAATGTGCAACTTGAATTTTCCTTCATATGCATAGTGCATATCAAATGTACTGAAAAGAGAGGTTAAGGTCTGTGTTTAAAATATGACTTGGAGGACTGGGCATGGTCTTAGTCTGATATTACATACTACAACCAAAAGAATAATTATGGACTAGAAAGGGGATTAAGAATACACTTGGATATTACAGGTCTGTTTGAGATAAGGAGCATAAAGCAGCCAGGATTAATGCCAGTCTTAACAGTGATTTCCTTATGTCTATGACTGCTCTGATAGGTGGTGGGCTTTAGTAGCTCTCCTTAATGTTAATCACAAGAGCTTAGGGAGCTACAAAGTACAAAACCCCCAGTCTAAGCCCTACAAACCTCATGAACATTCTTATAATTTTATGTATATTAACTCAGACAGAATTGTCCCATGGAAATCTTCAGCATATTCCCACAGATTACTCTCAGGCTGAAGGAACACACTACAAAACACACAAAAGCATTTAAAGAAATTCCAGTTACACTGGCTTCTGAAATGCTTCCAATTAGCTTGCAAGTGATCTTGTCTCTCTGACAGGCTCTGTAACATTCAAATTGTTGTATTAACATATAGACACATTCAGAATAAGTGCATAATTTGGTGCTCAGCCAGTTGTGGTTAATGCATCAAGCAGTAATGCTCATCTCAAAAAAAAATTATTTTCTTTGGTATCACTTCAAAGAATGGATGAAAACTGGCCTTAAGCCTTAACCCACAAAGCAATGGAAGTTACACAGTATAGCATCACAGGGTCTATACAATTATTTACAAAATCTCAAGAAAACCATTCTTTTGCTTCCCACAGTTGGCCATAATTAATTCTTGGTAAATTTTTAAAATCAAACTGTGTAAAAGATCAAGCTACTTCCTCATGTAGATCTACAATTCTGGCAAATTTCTTTTTTGGGAGTAGGATAAGTAGGCAAATTTATCAGTTTCAGCTGGAGGAGATGATACTTATTTTCACAGCCTGAATATATGAAATTATTAACCTTTTCTATCCGTATTCTGCTCACACTCTTTTTTCCCCTATATAGTTTTCAATAAATTTTAACATCACATTTTATACATCTCACTCATCAGACTCTATAGAGTCCAAAGCCTTTCTCTGTTCCTTGAATGTTTCTCCTTAGCTTTGTATTTCATTGCTTTCCTAGGCCTGCTCTCTGCAGCTACACTGGAAAACTTTAAAGTTTTCTTTAAACTCTTCTTCCCACTCCCCAAATGATACCTCACATCCAAATCTCACCTGGGAATTTTCATCTTCTCAGGTATTTATAGTCTTCATCCTTGTTTTGGTAAAGCCTAGGCCAGCACATGTCTTCTGGCATACATCATAAATGAAAACTACATAAAACACCACATTTCATTGCATTTAAGCCACGTGTCCCATTTAAAAGCTATTGATATTTAACCCAAGACTGATGAGAATGAACAAACTGAATGCTGAGCACCCCTTGACATTTTAAGAAAATGGAAACCAAGGGTAAAATAAGGACAGCTCTTTCTGGCCACCCAAACAGTACATTTTTCTCAAAAGGGTCACTGTGAAGGGTAGCACAATATGGTTAGTGCAGCCTGCCCTGCTCACAGAGTCCTTGAAGACCCTGTCAAAATGGGCAACACCAGCCAACCAACATCAGGAGCACCTTGAGTGCTTCCTCATATGCTCACTAAGCACCTAAGAACTGAAAGTGCATGATTTCATACCTCACACTCTACTCTTAGTTTACTTATCAGGGCTAGTTTTACAATTCATGTGGTTTTTCACATTCTCAGTTCTTTCTCTGAAACTCCTTCTTTGTTTTATCCATGGTGCCCAGTCATCGGCTTTCAACTTCACACTGAACATTTTCTTTCTCAGCTTAAAAGGTGCCCAAGCTGATTTTCAGGTTAAACAGTACTAAGGGGAAAAAAAAAGCCCCCAAGCCCAAATAACTTGCTGAAGTAATACCAAGACTTTGTGGCAGAATTCAAGCTGACTAGAATTCAAGGGGAAAAAAACCCAACCCACATAAAACATTTAAAACATTTTATTTGTAAGACCTTCCCTTAGTGTTTACATATTATGCAAGCACAACTAGCAAAGAACCAGTGCTGCTGCTTTTTCAAAGTAGCAGGAAAGAGTAGTAATGCCTGCATACTCCCACCTTCTTCACACTAAGAGGCAAAAGAAAGTTAAGTGAACAAGTGATCCATGTTCCCTGGCTGTACAAAACGAGCAGTGCCGCTGTATTACTCAAGATTCCTCAATTCAGGATATGTTGATGGAACAATTAAATTGTTTGGTTTGTGGGATTTTTAGAAGGAATCTGTTTTTATCAAAAATTTGTAAAGCAGAAAATCACTTCACTGGAGAAGAAATACAAGGCTACTTTGAAATATGGACTGGAAGAGACTACATGAAAAAAAGCATTTTGCACAAATTCATCTGTCTCACGGCATGATCCCACACATTCACTATGAGAAAATGAACTAACTATTTAACATTTGCATACAAATTACTTTTTTGGGGGGGCTGAGGCATGGCTCCCTGTGTGATCTTGGGCCAGTTTCTGAACCTCACTAAATCTCTAGCTCTTTATTTGCAAAGCAGATTAATATTAGTTATGCAGGATGTGGTGAGAGTAAATTAACTCAAGCATGTAAAGGGTTTTCTGATCTTCAGATACTATGGAGAAGAAGGACTAGAAGAATCCATTTAAGAAGCAAAGAAGCACGAAAACCCACAGCCACACAACAAACATTTGGTATATCAACTTCATACAAAGAATTGGTGCTAACATTTCTATGTAGTAGCAGCAAAAATTATATTAGCAGAAAGAACAAAATACATGTATTAAGCATAATGAATTCACTTACTTTTTCCTAATTTCTAGGTCTGAAACTGGAACACATCTCAGGCCAGCTCCCAAAACCATGAGGGATGATGTTAGTAACACTGTTACCCTCAGACCTATGATGAAAAAATAACAGTATTTTACAAGTCAAATCAGTAATGTTGCAAAAGAAACATTGCTTTTATATATCTATATTTACATGGAGTTTCACAGAAATAACACATGTTTCTTTCAAATCATAAGCACTTTGGTGCTGATATAAATTCCAAACACATTCTGAAATCCTGAGTTATTTTCTACACTTTCACTCCAGAATTACAAAAGCTTACTCTTGGCATGGCAACACACAGAAGTGTATCCAAAATCTCACAGACATTCTTGAAAGTGAAAAGTAATAATAAAAGTATCATCAAAATATACAATATTCCCTTTGGAATTAGAGGCATTGGGGAACATGCTCTACTGTGTTATCTGAAATCTACACAGACGCAAAGAAAAATCTGGACTTGTTCATTCTTCTCCAACCACTTAACGAGCACAGACACAGCACTGTTATTGTTTTCTTTCATAATGCAGATATGCATTTCATCCCAAAGAAACAACCATTTATTCAGGGGAAAAGAAGTACAAGTATTTTTTTGCAGTCCTTGCAATTAGGGCAGTTTTTTGCTGCTCTCAGCTCCAATTGTCAGAGGTTGTAAATATCGTACATTAGAAAAAAGCCACAATTGACTGGTTCCTTGAATATGTTTTTCCCTCGTGCAATTTTCATCTGAGAAGCTCTTAGATTAGAAACAACCTTATCTTCATGCTGCAATTCCTTTTGCCAGCAGTTTGTTTGCTGCTGTTAAGGTGTTTCCATCAGCAGCACAGAACAGTGACAGCTGAGGGGCTTAAGCTCCAAAATCTTGCAAAACACCAAATCATAAATACTCACAATTAAAAACCACAGAGAGAGTCTGCATCTGTGAAGTTGTAAATTTTGAAACAATTTCATAGCAACAAATAGAAAATAAAGGGCTTCCATGTTCTTAGAAGAGTATAATAAAAAATATTAATGATTGACAAACATGCAATACCTCTAACATTTAGGTAAAACTAGTAGTTACCCAAAATACAGATGATAAAAGAACCTGTCCTATGATGTCACCTGTCAAACAAATGACTTTGATTCTTTCTAAAGCTGCCTATCTTCAGAGGAGTGTTCCCTCTGTTAGTGACTCCTGTGATCAGCACAATTCAAGCAATAGTTGCATTAAATATTTTGTCTCCATGTATTTTACTGAAATGTGATTTTACTGGATGAGACATAATTTTGCTCATATTGTGACAGTTCTTAATAAATCTCACTCACATGCATGCAGATCCTGGTGCTGGACACTACACAAACCAAACACAAGAAAAGTTTCTCTATCAACCAGTGTAGCCCAAGACAACCCAAACAAAAATAAGTTAGTAAGTAAAGTTACAGGTTTTCTGAAATAGAAGTGAGACTTCCTTTGGTAAGGCCCAGTCATTAACACAAGGAATGCCAGCTGCAGTGATGTGACTCCAAAGGACACTTCACATCTCTGATGCCCTGAAGAAGTATCATCAACCAAAAATACTTCTTTCCTGGTAGGATTTCCCAATACCTCCTTGAGCTTAGTTGCTTGACTGTGCTCAACCAGCAAATGCTGCTGTTAAACTGGTTTTTCAAGTGTGTTCAGAGAGCCTAAATAAATGCCCCTTTAATATGGCTGCTCCAAACCTTCATGTTCCTGTGTTTGCTAGGCCACCATGAGTCTTCATATGACATTTAATTCCACATTGCCATACTGCCTGTGCTGTGCTGGGGCAATTATGCATATCTGCATTGCATACATGATGCTTCTGCCTCTTCTTCTTGGAAATTAATCTTTGTTAGCACTGCTTTTGTGGGTAATGAAAATTTGTATGCAGCAAGGATTGGAATTTTATTGATGGAAAATTGAAATACAAGTCTTTTATCTGAAAAACTTGAAGTTTTCCATTAGGAAATGCTATCGAAATTTTTCAGGAAAGCTCTAGTCATGTGCACACCACCTTGTTTTCCATGTAAACCAGGCTCTTCTTGAACTACATTTCACAAAACACAGTGCATTCTGCCTTTCAAGAGACACAAGGAGAAGGACAGCATGAAGGGTGCTGCTCATGGGGCCCTGCTTGAAGTGCAAGCCAGGGACAAGCCCAGGACACAGCTGTAAATGAGAAACAGAAATTTAAATTTAAATCACCACAAGACTTAAAATGAATGTTTCCATATTAAAAACTCCTACTTGATTTCTAATTTTTAAGAAAATCCCTAAATCAAAATATATGCAAACCAAGAAAGTTTTAAACTGACTCTGCACAGAAATTTCCTTAAAAAATAAAAAACCCACAACATGCAATTTGGTAAAAAAATTAATTAGATGCAGAAGTTTGCCTCCAGCTTTAAATTCAGGCCTATCTTTAATGTCAACCTCATATGTCAGATAATTTTAAAGTAAAATTATCTGTTAAAGCTTCACAATCATGTAGGCCTGATCTCTTCATTCTTTGAAGTCCTAATCTTGAATACTGTTTACTGTAAGGTATCCCTTTAAAATGTTTTGACTGTCCAGCTTTTTCTTTGTCCTTTTTTTCTGTTTCTACCTTAACATGTAAACGCCCTCCTGCAAATTCCTTTGGTTAATGCTGCAGGTTGAAAATGATGACATCAAAGTGAACAAAAGATTGTCAGACAAGCAGCATATCAGACATTTGTTTTGCTAATTACACAATATAGTTTTACCTCTAAGCAACTCACCCTCTTATTTTGCTTTACATTTTAACTTTTTTTCATTTTTGTCAGAAACCAGTCTTTTTATTTATTTCAGTATTTTTGTTTTGAATGCTGCAGTTGTTGCTACATTGAATTTGACATCTTGTATTACTCTAAAAGGGGCACCCCAGAGTGCTTAAGATAGCAACCATGCATCATGGGGACTATAAACCAAAGCAACCAACCAAGCTTGAAAAACAGCCTGTGAACCTTACAGCAAATTATGTCTCTACTTTAGAACATCTAAGTAATTCACTCAACCAGGAGATTTTGTGCAGATGTAATTAACTCCATTAATTCTACCCTGTAAATGCAAGCAGAAATTGGAGGGAGGGAGGAGGGTACAGCTTCTTAAAATCCATCATTCAGTTTCTACCCGTTTCTATCAGAGGTTTCTGACACATGGCTGAAAGGGGAAGAAATTCCTTTAAACAAGATTTTCTGCCAGTGGGTGAAGTTTTGTGTTCTTTACACCTTGTCTCCTTAGCTGCTCCTTCCCATCCTCTTCATGCAGGAGGTTTCTGGGCCCCACAGGTGGCAGTGGCTCTTGAGCAAACTAAGGCCTTGCTCAGAACAGCCAAACTTCACTGACAGCAACAGAAAAGTCCAAGCCAGCAACAGAAATTGAGTCAGTAATAAAAAGGATGTTTTAATTATCATTTATGAGTGTAACAGTCGATATTGTTCAACTGTTTAACCCTCCTGTGGCTCATAACACCATCTGCTTTATGACTTCAGCAGTCAATGCTGCATTTGCTGTTTCATATTTCTTTTTACAACAACTGTCTCCAAACTCTGGCCACTATTACAGACTTAAACTCTCAAGCCACAATCTCCACTACCCACAGCCCAACACAGAGCAGAAGCAGAACCCCCCATGCTGGAACGTGGGGGCAGCAGCTGCCAGTGGCACCCAGCTGCTCTTAGCTCCCTCACAGCAACATCAAGCAAGAGCATTCAGAATGTGGGTGCTCATCCCCCACAACTCCTCCGGCATGCCTTACTTTCAAAATGCTTTTCAAAGTATATGAAAAGAAAATGCATTCCTCCACACCCCACATTACTGACTTGTAACCCAATGAGTGAATTATTATGCCCAGTTTAATAAGAAACTTAAAAAACTATGCTGCTGTCCTAATTCCAACAATTTATACATTAGTTTGTGATTCACCAGGAGAATGTGATTAACTCATTCCTGAGCATCCCCGACCTGAGTCCAGCACAGCAGCTCCCTCAGTTCCCCACTACTGCTACAGAGCACTGCAAGCAGCCTCTTCTAGCTCAGAGCACCACACACATGGCACACACCTTTTGAGTCTGCTTTCCCCCATACAATGAAGCATTCATCCTAGGGGAAATCTCAGTTGGATGGGCAGAACAGACAAGTTTTCACTTTTCTCCTTTATTTTTAATAGAAGTTTGGCCAGAGGAAAGGCTGCTGGATTCAGCCCTTCCCGTGGCATGGCAGCACTGATTTTCCTCATAGAGCTCACACACCCTGCTCTTAGATGCAGTAACATTTGAGGGGTTTCCTAACTTCCCCTGCAGATACCAAAATCAGTTCTCACAAATACCAAGTACAGCAAGGCTCTGAGTAGAAACATGTGACATCAGCCTCCTGCCCTTTTTCACAATTTTTAAAGACCAGGCTGAAAGCACAAATTGTTCCTTCTGACACTGAACTGAAAGCATTTGCTTGACCTCCCCATCATTTTGACTAAAACATATCTAGCTAAGAGAAAACAGAATGTAAAAGTCTGTCTTGGTCCACACACACCAGGAAATTTAAAACTCACCAATTGCATTAGCTGTTTCAACAATTCACTGTCAAATTATGCTTTTCCTCCCAATTTAAAGCAAATTCAAAGTTCTTGTTTTGCCCTTCTTTACAAAACAAACCACAGTTCCTGGATGTTTCCTTCTATGAAATTAATCTATAAAAACCAACTTTTACATTGAGGTTCAGTAAGTAAAGTATTGAGCTCCAAGCCTTCCACAATTTTTCTCTGGACTTGGAATTGTTTTTATGTTTTGTTTATATGTCCTCCTTATGGCTCAAGCGTTATTTTTAAATGGGTTTCTTTGCTGGATACCAATGTTCCATTTCATATGATGGGTCTGCTTTTCTCCCTTTTTAATATATCCCTATACATTTAGCTGTACTTTTCAAAAGGCTTAATTAAACAGCTCCCTTTATCAGGCAATCCTGAAAGCACTGCACACCCACCATCCTCCAGAAATCTTTGGTTTTTAATGTAATTCTAGCAAAATTATACTAATAGCTGCAACATT